CATTCTATAGTTGGGTAGTTGGGACGGATCTCGTACAAGGACATCCATGATTGGTTTCCAGATAGGATCAGTAGCATATCCTTGGCGAATCTGGTCTTTCAGGTCATTCCCAACATCCAAGTAAGAGATAATTGCACCAAAGAAGTCACTCCATCTAGACAATGCATCTGCAACCAGATTAGACTTTCCTTTGATTGTTTTCAACTCAAAATCAAAAGTATCAATGAATGCAGACCATCGGATCAGTTTATCAGAGAGCCTCGGCTGTGTCTTTATCCACTTCAGGGTAGAGTGGTCTGAATACACAGTGAAGTGCCTCCCTAACAAGTGGTGCTTCCACGTGTTTAGTGCATAGACTAAGGCATACAATTCCCTTTCATAGGTGGAGTTGGCAACCTTTTCAGACGGCAGTCGTGCAGACATAAACTCTATGGGCCTATAGCCCTTGCCGTCATCTTGCTGTAGAATAACACCAATCCCATACTGACTTGCATCAGTAGTGACGATGAAAGGCAAAAACGGGTCAACAATCTTAAGGACGGGGTAGTGAGTCAGGGCATACTTCAATTTCCGAAAGGAAGACTCACAATCCTTGTCCCACAACCAGACAGTTTCTTTCTTTAACAATTTTCGCATTGGTGCAGCAATCAATGAGAAGTTTCTAACAAACTTCCTGTAATAACTGGCTAAACCAAGGAAAGATCGCAATTCCGTTATAGACTTAGGTTGTGGCCAATCTCTAATTGCTGAAATCTTCTTCTCTTCTGGCCTTAGACCTTCTTCGTTCACTATGTGTCCTAAGTATAACACTTCGGACTTAGCAAACTCAGATTTCTTGGGATTGATCTTGAAGTTGCCCTCACGCAACTTCCCTAGCACCAGACGAAGCTGCTTCTCATGATTTTCTAGTGTCTTACTGTACACTAGAATATCATCGAGATAGACAATAACAAACTTATCGATCCATTGACGAAACAAGTCATTCATTGACCTTTGAAACGTAGCAGGGGCATTCGTTAATTCGAAGGGCATTACCACGAACTCGTAGTGGCCATACCTGATCCGGAAAGCGGTCTTATGCTGATCGGAGGGTTCCACCTCAATCCGGTGATACCCAGATTTCAAGCCGATCTTGCTGAAGTACCTGCAACCCTGTAGCTGGTCAAGTAAGTCGTCAATGCGAGGTAGCGGCTCAACATTCTTAACAGTGACGACATTCAACCCTCTATAATCAATACAGAGATGCAACTCACCTTCCTTTTGGGGCACAAAGAGGACAGGGGCACCATAAGGGGAAAAGCTAGGGCGAATCCATCCTTTCTCTGTTAAGTCCTGCAGTTGTTTCCTCAACTCCTCAAGTTCCCTAGCAAACATTCGATAGATAGGGCCCTTGGGAATCTTACTTCCAGGAATAATTTCAATGGTGTGCTTGATAGCACGTTCAGTTATTTCTGTCGGTTCGGAAAACAAATCTTTATATTCGCTAAGGAGTTTTTCGGTCGAAGGAGGATAGGAAGTAGAGGACTCACCTGCTCGTTTTACTAAGACCATCATTACTTCCTGTTCTAACCTTTTCTTTGAAACCATCGAACGAAACGCTGGGTAACTCATACAGCAGAAAGACAGGCTAGAGTCAGAGCCAGACTTATGAAACAATTTGATTGGTTTCAAATTAGACTGTGCGTCTCTCAATTGCACAATCTTCTCTTTGAACTCAATGTCTGGGTTGGCTTCCTCGTACCAATCCATTCCCAGAATCAAGTCAAATGGTAAGTTCTTTTCGATCAGGAAGGATACCTCATGCAAAATCTTCTTACCTTCCTTTGTTTGAAACCAACACTTGACACGATCAACATACTGCGAGACAGTGATCGTGCTTTTGTCGGCCAAAACAGACGTTATAGGTTTAGACAGGTTCTTCACCTTCATTTCGAGATGCAACTTGCGGATTGCTTTCTCGGAGATGTAGGATCGCGTGGATCCTGAGTCCAACAGAGCACCTACGCGTGTACGTGCAATTTCTACATCCGCGAGTAGTAGGTCACCCTTAGACTTAGCTTTCTTAGACCACGAGCTTCGTAATGCCAGCAACTCGTTACCAAGCTCATCAAGAGAGTCGTCCAGAGAGATAGAACATAAGACAGGTTCAGGGTGTTCCGGACGATGGGCCGAAGAAGAACCATCCTCTGCCATGTGAGTCAAAGGGTTGGAAGGGTTAGTAGGCGCCTTACCTTCTTCTTTGGGTAGGAGCAGATGCTACTCCTGCTGGCGGCTCGCTTTGGGTTACGGATCAACGGGCACTATGCAATCGCATGCCCTGCAATGCCACACTTCAGGCACAGCGCGTTGTCCATTCGTTCCTGCCACGTTTCTTGTGACAGGCCCATCTTCTCCCAAGGCTTCCCGGCCGCAATTCCGGGGTGCTCTGGGAACGAGCGTGGCTTCTTCTTCTTAACTGGCGGTCGTGGTCCTCCCTTGTTGACCACAGTAACAGTGACTTCCCCCTTCCCGGAATCACTGTTGGTCACCACACCCTCGGCTTCCAACGGCCACCTTTCCACAGTTTCGTGATCGAAGACGACAAGGGTGTGGTCCTGGCGCTTTTGGCGCCAAAGTACTCGCTTTCCTGTTCCTGCACCACCACCATACTTCACAACAAACGCATAAGAGTTCTTCACTTGAAAAGTCATTTGCTCTCGTTGGAGAGCCAGATCCCGAAATTGCCTATAGTTATACTTACCGGACTTGGGCTCAGCCACGAGTTGTCCACGAACGGGCTCGGGCAGAGCACGAGAGTAGATGTACAAGACCTGGTTGTCTTGCAGGTTCAATCCCGGAACCTGCAGCAACCGATCCACTTCCCGAGATAACGACTCCACAGAAGTCCAATGTCTTTGACCAATCGTGGTGAGCTGGTCAAAGGCCTTATCGGCCGTCATTTGTCCAAAAACCGTTCCTTGATCTTCCTAAGGAACTCTTCGAGGTTCAAGGTTCCAGCCCACTCCCCGATGTCATCGAACCCTGTGGCGTTGGTTTCGGCCAAAACCCACTCCTTAGCTTCCCCACCAAGACAAGAAGTAGAGAATGCAACCTGGGATTCGGGTTCGACAGGGGCCGTGCCACAGTACGTTTGAATCTTTGCGATCCACAAAAGCAGATTTTCGTCTTTCTTATTACAAAACGTGAAAGGCAATTTCATTTTAACTTTTTATTTCCTCTTTGGTTTCTCCGGAGTCGTTACTTTGTCCTGTGGCTTCGAAGAAGGAGACTTTGGAGGTGGAGAGGAAGGAAGGGAGCTGGGTGGAGAAGACGGCGGACTCGAAGGCTCCCCTTTCTTTGTTTTTGGTTTCTCTCCCGTCTTCTTTGTTTCTACCTTGAGAGACTTCATGGCATCTCCCATGAGTTTCTCAGTCTTTTCAGTCTTTTCTTCCTTGACCTTTTCCTTTCCCTTGACCAAATTCGTGATTGTCCGAAGCCCTGAGGCCACATCATCAATTTGTGACTGCAACCTTTCGCCAAACTGATCAATTTTCAGTTCTAAGTGGGCAAGGTAATTCACAAGCTGAGCCAAGGAAATTTCATATTCTTCCCCTTCAGTTTTAACAACAGTTTGTCTAACCTCTTGAACTTTTTGCTTTTGTCGTTCAATCTTCTTCTTTTCTTATTTCCTCTTCTTCTCTTTTTCTAATGCTTCTTCAAGTTGTCTGATATTCTCATCCACGGTCTCTTCAGACACAACCCTTTCTTCTCCTTCTTGATGTTCAGCAAGCTGAGTGAGTTGATCCATGATATACTTATCAAGTGCCTGTCGGCACTTGATTAGTATCTCCTGAACTTGAATGACGTCGGTGCCTGTGACAGACGATTCAATAGCATCACGTAATGCTCTTAAATCGTACAGGCTCCGGACGTGAGCCTCATCATCTTCACCAGCATCATGAAGTTCAATTATCAATTTGTCCAACCGGGCAATCAAGACTCTTTTCCGCTCTTTGACTTGCTGCTTTGTTCGAGGGTCAGGAGTCTCCTCATCCACAACAAACATGAGTGAGACTAGGTAGAAAAGAAGTGGGATGAAACGTGTGAGCACAGACAATTTCATAGAATTCCAGAGGAAAGACATCGTAACGTGCGTCTGCCGCACAATAAATACTTAATTAACGGTAATGAATTCCATGGCCGCACTGATCTACTACAGCAAGATTCAAAGAATTGAAAAAAAAAAAGAATCAGATACAATTATTTCTACTTTCTAACTTTTGCTGCTCTTTGTCTGTCCGTGTGATGACGTCCTAAACAAGAGTGTACAAGTATCGCGCCAGGCCCGTGGGATCAGACACAACACACAAGTAAGTACACAAACACCACACACAGCAACAACAGGTAAGTATGCCAACAACAATCACAAATAGTTTGTCAGCAACTTCGTCAATCTGCTGTGTCTTCTTGATGTCAGTGCGATCACAAACTCCCTCTGACAGCTCGCACTACAGCTGTGTAATCTGTCCAGTCAGCTGTACCGCCGTCGTCTTTAGAGTGCACCTCTTAATCGGCAGTATCCTGCCTGCCACGTGTCACCCCTGGAGTGCCAACATAGCAATGTTGCCACGTCAACACTTTGTCCAGTCCAGTCCGTCAATAATGGGATGTCACGTCAGCAAATGTGTAGTCCGATCCTCGCCACGTGCCTTTTCCAAACATCACGTGAGATACCGTCGCCGTTCCAGCCAGTCAGAGTATGCCACGTCAGCCAAGGAGTTCAATGCCATGTCAGCAGGCAGACACCACCTCATAAGACAGGTGTGATGACCTGCTCATGCCACGTCAGCAGTCAATCTTTCCTCCAGGCCACATCAGCATCTGCAGTAGACCCTGTTGTGTCAGCAGCACAAGGAGTGCCACATCAGCACTCAACAGGGTCTTCAGACGCAGCACAATGTGTGCCACGTCAGCATGGGGTCGCGATGCCACGTCGCTATCGCGATCCTGGCTGGCGTGCGGTATCCCTTGTTGCGATCCCTACTGCCACGTCAGCGGCCTGGTTGGGATGTCTTCTTGCCAGCAGAGCCTGTACCTCGTCAGCAGGTCTTCTCGCAAGTGACCCCGTAGTTCGTCAGCAGTCCCGGGCACTGTCACTCGCCAAAGAGGTATGTACCACGTCAATATCCCCAGCGTATCTCTTGCCACGTCATCACCTACTCAACCTTGCTTACCTGCGCGCCACCTGGCGCGTACACACACACACTAATGTCGTCGTCAGGAGATTAGCTCCGATACCAAATTGTAATGAACCCAGATCGAGAGACAGTTGTCAACAATGTAAGTCCAGATAAATGTCCATTGGCTGATGATTACTCAAAAATCGTGACCAGACAGAATGAGGTGAGATATCATACACAGACGAAGAGATAGGAGGGAGAAGAGACAAAGGAGAGGAAGAAACATGCCCACTCCTGCTTCGGGCTCCCTCCTCCACCGCCACCTCAGCAATCAATAGTCTGAACGAGTATCCAAGTATCCTCAATGTGCCACGTGGCACGTCTAATCAGTTCCACATCAGCATCTGGAGCAATGTCGACATGAAGACCATCAGGTACGTATCCTCGAACTCTCCACAGCCCTGATCTCCTCCTGAAGTGACGACAAAGAGAACAGCAATACCGCTTACGTAGTCCTCTCAATAGAACATGTGGCAGCAGTCACGTCAGCCAAATGATACACGTGGCAGCAGCCACATCAGCGAAGGCGCATGGCAGCTGCCACGTCAGCAAGCCAGAAAGACAGGAGCAAGCCGGCCACCATGCCGGACTAGCAGCGCCTCGCCAAGTCACAATGCCAGCAGCGTCGAGCCAGCGTCGCAGCGTCAAGCCAGCATCGCAGCGTCAAGCCAGCGTCGAAGTCAACGCGTGAAGTCAGCATCAACGCAAGACAGAATGAATGCCTCAATGCCAGGGAGTCAACTCTTATGTAGTGTTGACGCGGGGTCTGGACCCCGGATGCTGTATCCCTCGGCCGTCCAGATCTCAATGCGAATGAGGGCTTAGATCGGCCTGAAACCGAATTCCCTCCGGCCTGGATGCTGTCTGGGTACCTGCGCACAACAAGTGAGTGTATCCAACCCAGGGCCTGGGTGCGGTACCTTTGACTGTACAGTTGACTTTGACTCTTGAATTTCCTGTGGGCAGCATTTGGTCACACAGCCACGCTCGACAGACTCAGGCCCGGGTGTGTCTTGGTCACACAGCCCGGCGCAGGGCAACTCAGGTCTGCGTTTCATGGGGCCGGGTTCTGGCCCCAGGCGTCTTCTGAACAGGGTCGCCAATCCGGGCGTGACATCGGGACCCGGGCGCCCGGGATATCTCCCTAGGCATGTTAACCTCCAGTCCCTCCTGTGTTAAACCACCAGTCCCTCCTGGCATCTTTTCCCCAACCCGGATTTCTGCTGGGCAAAACGAACCAGCACGCGTTTGAAATGTTTTCTTTTTGCCTGGCACCTCCAGCCTCCTTGGGCTGGTACGCTGAGGCTCTGTCAATGCAGCATGTTAACCTCCGCGTGGGACCAAAATAGCTGGGAAAGGGACTGGTGGTTTAACACACACAAACAAAATCAGGAGAACCCTTTGATGCCAGAGACTGGAGTGGAAGAGCAGGAGGAGGATGGAAAGGAAGATAAGGCTTTTTTAACCCTTTTTTTTGTTTTTTGTTTTGAACATCTGCTGGTGGTGTTACAGGGCATGATACAAGCATCGCCTGGTAGCACCTCGCTACCAGCTGTGAACACAGGAAGCAGTACAGAGGATTACAAACCTCTCCAAGCGCAGCCAGGGACATGGCAGATAATCCAATATCGAGCTCAATGGAGGTCACTCTGTCAAGATTCTGCACACAGACGTCATCCACCAATTGCAGGGGCAAAAGAAAATTAGTTTTAAAGGAAAGAAAAGCCTCCAATCCATCCTTTCCATCGTTTTTGGGAACTTCGGATCAGTCACACGTTGATCCTTTCCCTTCCATGTGCAAGGAAAATAAGCAACAGCGAATGAAAATCCAAATTGCAACATCACATTGTGAGCCAGATAAGTCACGAGCTGTCCAGAAAGCAGAGCAGCGATTTCAAATGTCAATGAAAGCCTCTCTCACCACCATCAACAACGTACCTGAAGCGCTTTCCCTACCGGCGCTCAGCGCCCAGACTACGATCATACAGCTCCTACGCTAGCCTACTACCATGACGAAGTAGCCTGTTGACGTCAGCAGCAGCAACCAGGGTACATGCAGATGTCAACCCATCAGACCTCCACCAGGACCAGGTACATGCTCCCACATCACCTCTCTCACTCGCCCTCTCGATGCTCACCGTGGTCTCACCCATAGCTCTCTCTCTTCCTCTCTCTCCACGAGGACCATCACCACCTCCACTGGCTTCGCCTTCCCCCAGCCCGGTTATGGCTGGGTACTGGCACTTCCTCCAGCAGCGCCCACCTTCCCTCCTGCGCCCGTGTGCGCCCTCCAGCCCCTGGCCTACCAGTGGCCTCCAGCGCTCAAACCAGCAGCGCTGCTGCCAGCAAGACACGGCCAGAATGCCTCACCACAAGGCAGGCACTTTCCTTTATGGAAAGTGCTGGCAGCTTCTGTCTGCCAGGGCCTGCTCGTCGGAGTTTCTAGTAGCTTCCAATCGGACCAAAGTGTCTGCACCCCAGGGCCAGTTCAGATACTGGCCTGGGCCCGATGCAGTTAGGCACGCCCAGGTGTGCCACGAGATTCCAAGTGTTGGCCGCATTCTGATCAGCTAGTCGCCAGTATGTGACAACACAGCTGCATTTTCATTGGTCCACGGGCGCTGTGCGACATGTTGGCTTCCAGGCTCTTGCTGTACACGCCCAGGGCCCTAACCACTCGTGCCCTGGGCCCCGTTCGGTTGTAAGGCTCGACTGCCCAACGTGGCTCCAAGTGTTTGCAGCAATCTGATTGGCTGGTAGGCCTCCTTCCACGTTGCTATCTGGAAGAGCCTAGAAGGCTCACGGCCTTGGTGACACATGTGGTGCTCTGTAACCAACTCGAGCTTTGTAACTGTCTGGCGGCCACCATGGCTGGCAAATTTTGCAATATTCAGGCCTCTTCGAGGTGCAGGGCCCGCCTTCACTTAGGGCGGGCTCAATGCTTGCAGCAAGGGCCCATACGGGCATGCCGAGGACTCATATCATTGTACATGGCAAAACTCACGAAATTTTTCAGAGAAAAAAAAAGAACTGCAAACAAACTTTATCACTTGCCTTTCTATCTGTCAACATTCTCCATTTCCTCTCCCATTTTGAAAGCAAATGGAGGAGAGTGCTATAGCTTTCTTTTTTTTTTTGTTTTGGTTTGAAAACACCAGTTGACCTTGCTAGTGATGGTGATACGAGCCCCCACCACTAGCAGCCCAGCTGTTGGCTATTCTCCATCTGTCATTTCGAAAGCAAATGGAGGAGAGTGCTATAGCTTTCTTTTTTTTTTTCTTGAAAACACCAGTTGGCCCTGCTAGTGATGGTGATACGAGCCCCCACCACTAGCAGGCCATCTGTTGGCTATTCTCCATCTGTTTCCATCAGAGGTTCGAGTTCTTCTCAAGTTTCAAAGCAAGTGGACCCGCCCTTCCAACATCCATTAAAATTGGAACAATATGGAGAAGATTTTTATTCGCATCGGCACTGTGCAATTAGGGGTGACACACAAAATCAAGAAATGGTCTGAATAACAAGTGAACCCTATCTTCCATTTGCTGTGAAGGTGAAAGATCCTCATCCTCAATCCAATTCGTCGAAGAAGAGGGACTACCAACAATCAAAGTACTGCTAATCACCATGGTGGTTCAAACTTGCCACCATTGAAACCACAGTTCTGTACACGCACACGAGTGGGTGGCTTCCCTTCTTCTTTTTCTTTAATAGAAAAGCAGACTGTCTTCTCCTCATCGGGGGGACAGTTGCATTTTTCTTCCCTCACTATTCTATTTTCTTCTCTCATCCTTTTTTTTTTTTTTCTTTTCTGTTTTTTTTAACCTCACACAACATAATGTACCCTAAGCGAAGGAGATAATCCTAAGGCCTACCAAGTGCTACCTACTTGCAGAACCACTGGTCACTTCTAATCCAGTCGATACTAGTGCAAGGAATATGAGCGAGACCGATAGACAGAAATCCAAGTTGCAAATTCCCGAAGTAACTCAGATGGTCATGAACCAAGCAGAGAGTGCAATGCACCATGACACTGTCCAAATAAGAGCAATACAATGAACTCAAATGTCAATGTCGCCAATCTCTCGTCACACCAACACTGTATCCAATGTCGCACTTACTGTCTGGCGCACAGTGCCCAGCCTATTGTTATGAACTTGGTTGTCTGACGATTTTCACCGCCACTCGCACACAGGCAGTCTCATACACGCCCATACATGCATAAGAAGAAGGGGAGAGGAGACAGAGTACACACTGTACATAGATGAGAATAGGCAATGGAACATAACCATGCACAGGTGTGGAGCGGACACACAGTGTTTCTCACTCTCTGACGAAACTCCCAACAACCAATCACAAGAAGACACCTGCGAGGATAACAATAGGATTCACACTGATGATGAGCCAGTGTTTCTCACTCTCTGACGAAACTCCCAACAACCAATCACAAGGAGACACCTGCGAGGATAACAATAGGATTCACACTGATGATGAGCGCTCTCAAACCAATTATCGTTACAGAGTTTATTTCAATATCTCACCACCCTCAGAACTCCACACACCATTCTCTACCCTACACCCAGTTAGTAGTGCAACCCTGAAATGGCCTCCCAGAGGCCAGCGCCAACCGCCCAGGTGGAGAAGAGGTGCTGCAATGAAGCCTTCAGCGCCGGTGCACACTCTGACGAAGAAGCTGGCAGCTATGGCTGCCACACCACTGATGAAGCCCTGATAACTCCAGAGGGGAGGTGGGCGACAGTGGTCCACCCACAAATACTCAATTAAGAGCCTCAGCATAGCCCCGCCAGACGCAGATACCCTCAGGGGTCGATGCTCTGAGGATGCCCCAGCTCAGGCAACCTCCAGACGGCTGGCTATGGCTGCCACACCACGACGAGGGTTTCAGGATGCCGCCTGCAGACCATCACCTCCCCCGAACTTCCTTGGCTCCCCACACTGTGTCGCGAAAATGAACAGCCAAAAGACCCCAAACTACTGGCTCAGTCCTATTAGTAGACTAGCCTACTCTAGACCTAGACCTACTGGGACCGGTACCATTTCAGTTTGGCCTGTTCGGCCTGGACCCTATCCGACTATACGGCATGAGACCGTTGCTACAGCCCAAGGCCCGCTGGGCCTGCTGTCCTAGTGATAGCCCGGTACTGCTAGAGGCAATGAGGGTACTAGAGGAAATTCGGGGTACTACTGGGAGTATAATTTTCCCAGATTTACAGATCTGTCCCTCCTGTATTTCCCTCGGACTGAACTCACGGTTAGTCCCTGACACAAACAAAATTACGAATCTGACCCTAAGACACGACTATACAACCCCACAGTCGGATCTCGGCAGCAGAAATCAGCAAGTCATTGCAGGCTTACCCTCTCGGGGAGCGAGGACCTCCGAGCTAAGGGTGCAGACGAGGAGATCGGTGGGGAAGATTCCCTTTCTGAGCCGCCTCGTAACGAAGTACTACAGACTTTGCTGTCTTGAGAAGTTCTTTCGTGGTGAACCACCTATCCTCGGTATGAGGCTGGAAACCGAACTTGACAAGATACTGTCGGTCGGGGTCAGTGCCCGACTCATCCTCGATGGACTCCACGCTATATCCCTTGTCGGGGATCGGTGGACCAAACTGAGGGGTCCGGTCCGGGAATGCATCAGCTGGGATGAAGGGAAGCAGCTTGGATGCATGGAAGACCGGATAGGTCTGTAGATGTAGTGGGACGTCGATAACGTACGACGGGCCAAAAGGATCGGAGCCCACTGTATTTAATACCTACCACGGACCCAGGTATCATGGCAACAGCTTGGGAGAGATATCCTCTTCCCTCGACAACTCTGAATTGGCTACCCAGATGTAATCGCCAGTACGAATGGGGGAAGGATGTCGGCGGCGATTAGCTTGTTCAATCATGGTCTTTTGAGCCTTGAACAAGTTCGCCCGTGCCCTTCACATCGGCTCTATAGTGTCTGGTAAACTCCGCAGTGCCAGGAGTCAGATCAGACTTAGCCTTATTGATGATGTCATCAAGAGCCTGTCATGGCTCACGTCCCCAATGCAAACGATATGGTCTGAACCTGTTGAAGAGTGGATAGAGGTATTGTAAACAAGTGCACGAGCCAGGTGGATATCCCAATCCTGTTGATCTGGAGAGATGACAGGTCGCAGCAATTGAAACAAGACTTGGTTCATCACTTCAGCCTGACCATTGGCTTCAGGGTGACGGCCAGAAGTCATGTTCAATCGTGAGTGTAGGTAGTCCTTGCAGTAGGACTGCCACTCATTGTTGCAGAATCGTGGATCTCTATCACTGACTATAGAAGTGGGCGGTCCATGGTGAGTGACCCACCTCTCTGAAAACGTTGCTCTCACAGCGGGAACCCTAGCTACTTCTGGCAAGGGGATGAACTCTACATACTTAGAGAACATGTCCACACAGGCCATTACTTGACGCATGCCCCGAGGGGTGGTCTTGCTTAGATCAGTAAAATCTATAGATACAGATTCAGCAGGACCATCAGGTATGGGCAAGGGTTTGAGCAGTTCCAGAGGAGGTCTACGCTGGACCTTATTTCTCTGGCAAAGCTTACAGGTTTCAACATAGTGCAGCAGATCACTCCGCATCTCCGTCTAGAAGAAGCGTTGCGACAGGGCTGCATATGACTTTAGGAACCGAAAATGGCCGCGTGCATCATGGCACTCTGACATCAGCAGAGTCCTCGGTCGCTGGTCCTGGGGAATGCACAAGCGCTCCTCACCCCTGCTGTAAGTGTACAGCAAGTCTGAACTCAGGGTTGGGATCTGCTTGCAAATTCCTGACTCAGAGTTGGGATCTGCTTGCAAATTCCTGACTATGGGTCCATAAGCCGGGTCCTGAGGCAGTAAACGGGCAATGGTCTGACATGTCTCCTCTCCAAAGGACTGAGTAGAGGAGATCAACGCGAAAGCGTCAGGCCTACGAGGAAAAAGTGCTTCCAGTGCTTTGGTGCACATACAAGAGCATACAACTCTTTCTCGTAGGTAGAGTCTTGAAGCTTCTGTGTCTTGATCTTCTTGCTCGTGAACTCTACAGGCCGTAGACCATTCCCATCATCTTGCTGAAGAACTGCCCCAATGCCATACTGACTGGCATCAGTAGTCAGGATAAATGGCAAGGTGGGGTCAGATAACTTCAACACTGGTGCCCGAGTCAAGGCCTTCTTGAGTCGTGTGAAGGCCAACTGACAGGAGAGGGACCAAAGAAAAGGAGTGTCTTTCTTTGTTAGGTTAGTCAGGGGTGAGGCCACCGCAGAAAAGTTCCTGACAAACTTCCTGTAGTACGAAGTCAAACCCATGAAGGATCTGACATCCCTCACTGTCTGTGGCTGGGGCCACTCCTGAATAGCAGCAATTTTGGTTGCTTCAGGGGCCAGCCCATCTCCAGATATTACATGACCTAGATAGATGAAAGAGGGAACTCCAAAAGAGGACTTCTCTCTGTTGATCTTATACTGGCCGTCACATAACGACTGAAGAACCAGAGCCAGATGCTCCAGATGCTCCATATGCTCCCTGACAGTTCAGCTGAATACCAGAATATCATCTAGGTAGACAACCATGAACTTGTCCAAGTAAGGCCTGAAGATGCGGTGCATCTCAGTCTGGAAGGTCCCTGGGGCATTGCAAAGTCCAAATGGCATAACCAGATATTCGTAAGTACCATATCTGGTTTTGAAGGCGGTCTTGTGGACATCCTCCTCTGCCATCTCAATCTTGTGATAACCAGATTTGAAATCGATTTTGTTGAACACTGTGTAGCCCTGTACCATATCCAGCAGGTCCTCGATCCTAGGAATAGGCTTTGTACTTTTCCTAGTGATCTTGTTGAGGCTCCTGTAGTCAATGCACATTCTGAACTCTCCATTCCCTTTCGGGACGAAGAGTACTGGAGCGCCAAATTCAGATGTGCTCGGTCGTATCCAGCCTTTGCTGGTCAGGGTCTCTAACTGCTTTCTGAGCTCCTCAAGCTCAGCAAGGGACATCATGTAGATGCGGCCCTTGGGAGGGACCGCTCTAGGTAGCAGCTCGATGTGATGCTTGGTTGGTCGGTTGGGCAATCCAAAGGGCTCCTGCATCAGATCAGCATATTGATCCACAACCTGCTGTATCTCAGGAGGACAGGAAACAGGTGCAGCCTTCGTTTGTTTGACCAGAGCTAAAAACAGATGCTCATGGTCGTACTGGCGCGAGAGGGAATAGAATTCTCTCGCTCTCAAACAATAGCAAGAGGTCTTTGGGTGGTGTTCAGCCGCAATCCTGCAAGTCTGATACACCCCCTGTTCCTTGGGGAGTTCAACCTTAGGGATCTGCCAATCGATCCTAGGGTTGACTGCCCTTAGCCACTGCATCGAGAACACCAGATCAAAGGGTAGGTCAGGGAATATGTAGAAGTTTAGACGGTGTCTGACTTCCCCAGCACTGTCGAAGGCAACAGGGATGCCCTGACCTTCTCCCTGATGGTGATAGTAGTGGAGTCACCTATCCTAACCTGCAGCGGATGCTGCAGCTGCTCAACTTTCCTTCCCAGGTGCAATTTCTTGACAGCTCTGGGGGACATGGAGTTTCTGGTGGCTCCACAATCCAACAACCCCTTGATTTTGATGTGATTGATTAGGGGCCGAAGCAAGATGAGGTCGGACGTGACTTTCCTTTGTTCTTTCAGATGAAAGAAAAAGGCAGCAAGTGTCTGCAGCGCATGCTCCTTCAGTTCCTGATCCGGGTCAGTATCCTCATAACAAACGGATGCTGCCCGCGCAGCTCCCACCCTCTTCGGTGTCTCAACTGAAGCAGTTGCAGATTCATCTTCCTCAAATGACGAAGGTGCAACACTAGAGGGAACTGCAGTCCACAGGGTCTGCTTCAGTTTTTTCACTAACCCGGGCCTGGCATGTAAGGGCAGTCCTTCAGGAAGTGCTGACCCTCACACCGCAGGCAGACCCCTCTATCCTTTCTTCTTCTCCAGACTCCTTCCTGGATCTTGAGATCATGCCAGGGAAGAGTGGAGGGATTGAGTGGGTCAACTGGCATACAGACGTCTTTTGGCAGGTTGGGGCGTCGGGCAGGGGTAGAACGACGATGACCCTTGTCCTTCCCCTTGGTACTGGCTGAGGCTGTGGTGGGAGAAATATTTTTCTGCTGCTGCAGAACTCCCAAAACAGCCTGAGTCAGGGCCGCTGCAACATCTGTATCAGCAGCTGACTCAGTCCCGGCAGATGGTACATCAGCCTGGGAGTCTGAATCACTGGCTGATCCAGATCCTGCATTTGGAAAGGCAGCCTTTCCCTTTCTGCCACCACGAGGGAAGGCTCCTTTTCTTCTATCAGAAGAGGGGGCCTGGACATGCAGCTTTGCCTCCATGTCCCAGGCTGCACGGTCGAAGGATCTCCAATCCTTGTGCCCAAGACTGTATAAAGCAACAACAAACTTCTCAGGCGCTGCCCTGCAGAAGTTGGTTAGCAGATCATTTGCTGATACAACCAACCCAAGGGTAGAGGTGAGCTGCTCGAACTCTGCAAACAAAGATTGCAGCGACCCGCTATAGTGCTACTGCCCCAGGCGAGCAATCCTGTCAGCAGCTTTGTGGGCCCGCTCCTTGTCTGCAAAGCGGTCCTCTAGGGCCTGCAGAAGTCTGTCCACCCCCAGCCCAAAAGCCCAGTCCTCCAGGTGTTGTTCCTGGCTGCTGAAGGTCGAGGTAGCCCACTTCAATGCGGGCCCCTCCAGCAGTCCCAGCATCGTCGCAACCTTGGTCTACTCTGCACATGTCAAGCCTCTCAAGTAGGCTTTGGTACCCGCGGTTCAGTCCCCAACGTCCACTTTGGGATCGTCGCCTTTGAACTTGTTGGGGGTTGGAATCTTGGTTCCCCTTTGATCACCTGCAGGCGCAAATTCAAGCATTGGGCAGCCTGTGGCTTTTTGGGAGGGAGGTGGTGAAGGGGAAGAATGGCGGGAACTAGAGGGAGATGAAGTAAGAGAAGGAGAAGGTTTTACTTTGGGCACAGGAGGCTGAGAAGTAACCAGCTTGGCTGTTGTAAGCTGGGCAGTCAGAGCCTGAATTGTATCCAGTAGCTTTGACTGCTGAGCCGCCAGGTCCTCAACTCGACGCTCAAGACGGCCCATGCGATCATCCCAATTGGTGAAATAGGAACTGGTGGCTTTGTGTTCCAAAACGACCCACTCCGCCAAGTTCCTGGTCACCTGGGTGCAGCGCTCATCTGACATGACTTTGGTCAACTTCTCCAACGGATACTCACTGCGTGAGGCATCTGTTGCAGCCTCCAGATCGGCTGCCTCCTGTCTCTCAAGTTCTGCAAGCAGCGTCTGCTCCTGCTGCAGTCTATCCTGCAACTCCTCCTTCTTTCGCTGAGTAGCAGTTAGAGGGGTAGTAGAGGGGGAGGCATAAGTATGTTGAACTCCTGTATTCACTTCTGCTTCTCTCTGTGGCTGCTGCCGAGCCTCCTGATCCGCCATTTTCCACTCTCAGACACACACTAGTTAGTGGACAAGCAAGGGAGTATGCAGCGATATACCAATCCCTTCAGACACTCAGAAATCGCTGCTATCTCTTTCACAGGCGTAGGTGGGTGAATGGGCAACAAATGATTGGGGTTGGAACAGTATCTCTGGAGGTCAGCGGTCAGATAGACAGACAGTCGAGTACAGTCAGTCATACGATTTCCTTTTACTGACCCTGCACCTAAACTGTAGTTAGTACAGACAGTTCCAATAATTCGAGAGATATCCTAACATTCCAGAGCCCACTAGAAAACAAGAGGATACGGTGGGAGAGAGAAAGAGTAGTAAGTACAGACAATCACAGACCAACAAGATGTAATGATTTAGTCAGTAGCCTTGAATCCTACCACAGACTCAACTTTCGCCATTGTTGACTCTAACAGCCATACCCAGAGGTATGGCGATTTACAATATTCACTGTAACTACTCAAATACTGCTAATCTGGGCAAGCGCTTTTGTACCGATGACAACAACAAAATTGTGATTCACTACAGACTGGCCGAATTGAATTCTGACGGGCAGAATTGTAGTTGCGACTAACCCTAGATAGCCCAAGCTATAAATAGACTCAACGCAAAATCACAATCCATAGTGTTAATACTTTTCCAATACAGAATTCACATTCTGAGCATACAGGATTCATCTCAATACTGTCATGCAGTCCCAGAACAGATTTGAGACAGAAAGAGTCAGCAGAGGGGAAATATGAGAACGTGAAGATGGTTATGGTTGTCATGCAGTCGGACAAAACTAAATTTGGACTCTGCAAGACAGATAGACCATCAATTCTATACTTCGCTATACAGAGATCTGTGTCGAATGTACTCACTTTCAGTGTAGTCTTCAGAAGATGTTGAATCTGGCTATGGCAGACTGAAACCCTCATCTCGCCAGTTGTTTCCAAAAATTCCTCCTCTGGTGTCCACGTACAGAATCTCCTCAAACTTGTTGATCTTGCTCAGGGTACAGAGGCGCTTCAATCCCACTTACTAGATTCACTGAATCTAGTCCAGTGGCGATCTAATAGTCAACAGTAGATATCTCGCCACAAACGCAGTTAGCCGCTGATGCTATAATTAGCCCCAGATGGGGTCAACTCTCCATGGGGTTGGCTCCAACAGTCAATCCAGCTCAGCGCTCCTCAAGGATGATGTCGCCACTCAGTTATCCTCAGTATTCAAGGGCAATTCGCCACTCTGAGGCAAATCGCTCATCTGCACTCAGGATTGACTTCGGCGAAATAGCCCTATACTCGCCACTTTTGACAAGCGCTCTGGCAGGGACAGTGCACTTGGTCAATCCAGTCACTGTACTCTTGAATCCGTCGTCTGCAAATCTTCTTCTCCACTGCTTCAGCCGTGAGGAAGATGAACCGCCATGGAACTCCCTTCAAAAGATCTTCAGAAGAAGAAGATGCCCCTGTTGCGCTCAACCCTCAATGTCCCTAATCCTAACCAGCTCCAATACCAACTGTTATGAACTTGGTTGTCTGACGATTTTCACCGCCACTCACACACAGGCAGTCTCATACACGCCCATACATGCATAAGAAGAAGGGGAGAGGAGACAAAGTACACACTGTACATATATGAGAATAGGCAGTGGAACATAACCACGCACAGATGTGGAGAGGACAGTGTGTTTCTCACTCTCTGACGAAACTCCCAACAACCGATCACAAGAAGACAGCTGCGAGGATAACAATAGGATTCACACTGATGATGGGCCAACTCAAACCAATTATCGTTACAGAGTTTATTTCAATATCTCGCCACCCTCAAAACTCCACACACCACTCTCTACCCTACACCCAGTTAGTAGTGCAACCCTGAAATGGCCTCCTAGAGGCCAACGCCAACCGCCCAGGTGGAGAAGAGGTGCTGTAATGAAGCCTTCAGCGCCGGTGCCCACTCTGACGAAGAAGCTGGCAACTATGGCTGCCACACCACTGATGAAGCCCTACTAACTCCAGAGGGGAGGTGGGCGACAGTGGTCCACCCACGAATACTCAATGAAGAGCCTCGGCATAACCCCGCCATACGCAGATACCCTCAGGGGTAGATGCTCTAAGGATGCCCCAGCTCAGGCAACCTCCAGACGGCTGGCTATGGCTGCCACACCACGGCGAGGGTTTCAGGATGCCGCCTGCAGACCATCGCCTCCCCCGAACTTCCTTGGCTCCCCACGTTGTGTCGCGAAAATGAACAGCCAAAAGACCCCAAACTACTGGCTCAGTCCTATTAGTAGACTAGCCTACTCTAGACCTAGACCTATTGGGACCGGTACCGTTTCAGTTTGGCGTGTTCGGCCTGGACCCTATCCGGCTATACGGCGTGAGACCGTTGCTACAGCCCAAGGCCCGCTGGGCCTGCTGTCCTAGTGATAGCCCGGTACTGCTAGAGGCAATGAGGGTACTAGAGGAAATTCGGGGTACTACTGGGAGTATAATTTTCCCAGATTTATTAGTCCCTGACACAAACAAAATTACAAATCTGACCCTAAGACACGACTATACAACCTCGCAGTCAGATCTTGACAGCAGAGATCAGCAAGTCATTGCACTATCCTACTCAGCCTATCTAGCCTATCTACATTCTCGCAACTAGATCACTCTGAAGTCGAAGACCAATGTACGTGACGTCAACACCAACGCCGATCACCAGCATACACCAGGTACATTCTCTCTCCTCTCGTCATCACCCCTCGTCTCCCCACATCACGCGCCTCCTACCCAAAGACCACCTTCGCCATCACCTGCCTTGCGCCCCTGCAGTCCGGCTATGGTTGCTGTGCGCCTGCTGCCTTTGCAACGCTCTTCACCTCAGGGCC